TTCATTTTTACACGTTTTCCATTTAAAAGAATAGAAGAAGCAACAACACAAATGAAAATTCAATATTGAAAGTACGTAAGTTGAGCGTAACTTTCTCGAGAGTCAATGCTCAATTATTTTATTGAGTATTTTTAATTACAATTTTCTTGTATTTTGCTTATATTTGTGGTACAAAATGTGTTTTAATTTTAAATATTCGAAAATTTTTAAATATTCTTTTATCATTTTGAAAATTTGAAAGTTTTTAATAAGTCCTAATATTTCTCAAAAACTTTTCAATCACGTAGGTTCATATAATCACATTACAAGTCTAACTCGGTACGAATTTCTTATTGTGATTTAAAAAAAATCCTTATTTAAATACGGAAAATTTTAAAATTGGAACGAAAATAAGTTCTATACTACACACGAATTGTCACAATATACACAATACCAATATTCGAATAATGATAAGTTCGAAAAATTTTGCATTTTAATTTGAAAAACATCCTCTTTTGTTTCGAAAACTTTCAGATGGTGTTCTCAATCACATTAATTGAGAAATATGTAATTTTTAATTCAAATTCAGAGAACTGTAAAACAATAATTTTTAGTACAGACCCTATACTTTGATATAATGCAACCCATTCCATGGTAAACGAAAATTTGTTAATCTCAACTCGATAACATTCGATAGAATTAGAAATTTTTAATCTACTAGGATAGAATTAGTAATATTCAACAGCAAAATACTCTTACGATACTGAAACTCTTTGAATACTCTCACGGTAAATCCACTTCCACTTTTGAAATTACAAAAAGCTGCTGGGAAAACAAACCTTAAAAAATTTTGAAATTAAGTTCTTTTTTTATACGCAAGTTGCCCTTGCCAATCGTTTTTCATTGCTAGGTTTTATTAATGATTTTTGTTTTTAGTGGTTATTGTCCTTTTTATTCTTAATTCAATATTCTTTTTCTTTTTAATTTCTACCATGCAAAATAGCAAAAAGAAAAGAAACAAAAGAATAAAAACGCAGAAAAAAATTTTTTTAAATGAAAAGTTTTTTTTAATATTTTTTTTTATTCTTGCAAATTTTTAGATGTGGTTTTTTCTTCAGAGTATGCCTGTAGGCTGATTTTAGTTTGATATACCAGCCGCCATATTGTAAAATTCTTAAAATTCAATTAGCTCAATTCGCCTGTTTTCTAACAATTTTTAATTTTTTGCTTTTTTTTTTTTATCTATACTTCCACCATTTTATTGTACTTTCAATTAAAATATTTTTTAATGAAAAAAGTTGAGATTTTTTCATTTTTAGTTTTTTTTTTTTAATTTTTTCATAGTCGCCGTTATCGCAACGTGTGTATGTATAAGAGAAGAAGAACATTAGCATGTGGTATAGTCCACACAAAAAAAAAAAAAAAATTGAATAAAGTCTATAATTTCAATATTCCATAGAAATATTATCAGAAGAAAGAAGAATGCGGAGCAAAAGGGGGTAGAGGGAGAGAAGATTTTTGCAAAACAAAAAAAAAAAATCCTTTTAATTTTATTTAATTTAAACGCTAACAAACAGGAGTTAAAAACTAAAACCATTGAAAATCAGAGATAAACCACAATATAAAGGACCAATTTTTAACAGAATTTTTTCGAGTGGACCTGAAAATGGACAAATGTTTTCGTTTCTCTTCTTCCAATTTTGTTGAAATTTAATTTTGGTTGAAAAAATGTTAAAGATTTTTATTTTTTGTCTTCTTCTTACGGAATTGATACTTTCATCCACATTATATTTAGTTTTAATTGATTAACTGAGGTTGAATTCACAGCACAGTACGGCTATCGCAAGTGTTCTTTACCCTCAAGCGCAATACAATGTGAAATCTATTTTGTTTTTTTGTTTATCCTACTTCCTGGAAGAAGCATGGTGCATGATATCGTAGAAAATCATTAACCAGTTTTTTGCGACATTGAGTTTTGCTAGGTACATAAATGACGAATCTACCGTAACTCTACTAAACATTTCAAATTATTTCTTTAATAAACGCATCAATTCAACGTCTTCAAACATTGCGGAAAAGCCATTAAAAAAAATTATGTAAAATGGAACCGACTCTAATTTTTCAACTTAAATAAGTTCCTTACTTTATTTATTTTCTTTAATTTTAATTTCCATGTCCACATTTCAACCTTTTTAATTTTTTTTTTTTTACAGTAATGAGTTTGAAGAAAGTGAATAGTTCGCTAGAATGCAAATGAAATTTACAAAAAATTTTCACAAGACTTTTTTTTTCCTTTCATTGTATTTTTAAAATCACAATTGGATTTAATTAAGAAAATGAAATGTGATTTTCTATTTCTCTGCATTTTGTTTTTGTTTTGTTTCAATTGAATCGGTTTCGGAGAATAATATTGGGTAAAGTTTTAATATTAAAAATATAAAAAACAAAAACGAGAAAATGTGTTGAAAAAGAAAATGAACTTTAATTTATGCAAAATTTTACAATTATCCGGAAAAGCCTTCAAACGCCTTGTGTATATTGAAATTTACAAAAAAAAAAAAATATTTGGAAAATTCATTGAAATTTTCAAGTGCAAAGTAAATAACTTCGTGTAAAATTCTAGTGAAAATACTTGATTGATCACATCATTGAAACGATAATGGTTGGAAATCAGGGTTAAAAGATAATTCGACAATTTTAATAATTATACAGATTAGAATAGAACACAATTTTAACTAGCCTAATGTACGAATTTTGTATAGCATTGAACTCATGTCTAATTTATGACAAACACAAAGTGTTCAAATTAAATAAAATAGTTTATTTTTCGGTTTTGAGAAATTTTTAAATTAAATTAAAATTACAGAAAAATTTCGTAGTTTTTTCGATAATAAAGAAAATATCTGCTAAAAATTTTCATTCAACTTTAAATTTCCTACTTAACAGACACAAAAAGGGCTTGTAAATTAAAAGAATAAAGAATCAAACAACTTCATTTTACAATTTTTTCCAATTTAAAGTTTTGTCAATTTTGTTTTCTCCTTTAAAAAAAAAATTGAATTTAAGAATTTGTACGCTGTTTCAGTTTGTTTTTGGACCCCTTCATCCGTGAACTATAGAAAAAAAATTAACCTGTTGTTTATTCTTAAAATAATTGCAAACTTAAAACATAAATTGAAAAATTAAATTAATTTCATGTTATTCACTTTTTTAACTAGATTTTATTTTTATTTTTTTTTGTCTTCGAGAAATTTTCTGAATTGCAATTTACCATGATTACTTCCTGTCCTTAAAATTTTCTTATTAAAATCTCTTCTTTTGTTCTAATAAAAAAAATGGATTTTTTTTTTGTGCCAGGTAAACATTTTTTTGCTTTTGTTCAAATGATAAAGTCCAGTAAAGTATTTAAATATAAAAACTTAAATGGAATCTAAGGTAAATCAACAAAGTGTTACCAAACCGAGCGAAGAAAATTTAGTGTGATTTTTTTTTTGTGTAGAAAATTTTTGGCAATTAATTGTAATAAACTAATTTTGGTAGAGCAAAGATAGTTAGATTAAAGTTTTTATAACAACTTTGGGCTTCATTTATACAAATTAATCCGTATAATTTTTGCACACTATGCATTAAGAAAGGGAAAACGTTATTTATGTCACAATAATTGCAGGTATTTAAAATATTTTCAAAAACAAATAGCTTTTTAAGTCAAAGTTCTCGTAGGTTTTAATCCAAATAGTTTTTAAGCTATTGCAAAGCAATTCAGGTGCATTATTCCCGTATTCTCGAAAATCAAGAGAACTTTAGTCAAAATTAAAATCAAAATGCTGGTCACTCTAAAAAGTGATTCTTTCATTTTACTTTAAAATATCTAAGATTTGATTTTTTTTTGCTTTTGCTTTTTTGGAAAAAAATAAGCCATTTTACAGTGAAAATATTTTCAAAAAATATTAAAAAAAAAATTTCGTACAATAGAAGAAGAATTGAAAGTTAAATTTAAACAAAGAAAAACAATTATTCTTTGGTCCAAAAAAAAAAAATAAAAATTTTTAAAAACAAAAATTTGTTTTAAAAAATTGTAGAAAAAACAATATTTTTTTTTATTTTTTTTTTGGAACAAATAAACAAAATGGCAGTTGAAATCCCGACTAAAGGTTACTTTATCCTAAAAGTCTATTTTGAAGCAAAATTTAATGAAAAATATTCTAACTCTAAATCGATGGATCATATTGTATGATTAAAATTTTAGAATATTGAAATTGCGACTTTCTAAAAGAAATTTTAGAAAGAATGAAATCTACAACGATATCAAGAAATTTTCTTAAATGCAGAGTAAAAGAACACTCGCCAATTTGTAACATATGTATTGGATCAAAAGAATCCAAATTACCAGCTTAAATTAGATTAGATTAGACATGAAGTAAAAATGCCCCGCCACTCATGAAGTGGATCAATTGTGCCCTTCCTCACCCCCCTTCCCTACCACGCTTAAAGCGTCTCTTGGAGACATATCCTTCTGACAAATTCGAAATCTCCATAACGCCAATCCCGTTCCTTCCACCTCCTGAGTTCCTTCCTGAGTTCATCCCGGATCCCCTGCGGCTCAATTCTTCAGAAGGGTTTCACCCCCTCTTTGCTACCACGTTTATTACATAAACAATTTCAAAATGTTAAACTGTTGTTTAAACACATAAAGTAAAAATTATTGAATAATTTTAAAAAAATAATCCGCCGATTCTAGTTTTCTGACATTAAAATGGTGAAAAACTTAGCAAATTTATTTCCGTTCCAAAAACTCCAACACAGACTGGAGGATAGTTTGTAATGTGAGCTTAATAAAAGTTTTCTACAATTTAGTATTCTTATAAAACTTATTCTTATAAAACTTTTCAACATAAAATTCAATATAAACTCAACAGATGCATAACATATTTTACCTTTTATACGTGATAATATTAAAATTTTCTGCCATATATAAAAAAAATTTTCATTTCCTTCTTAAATAAAACAATAAATTAACTTACCCCAATAAAACACCCCAAATCCATGGCATTTGTAATAAAAAATATGCTAAAATTGTAATTATAAGTACTTCGGCTATTGTTGGAATGAAGGTCAACTGCATTACAATTAACCAGACTTTTTTGAATGCATTGAATTCTAAACCAAAACCAGCTAGAAGCATAATGTTCACTAAAGCCATTTCTCTGGAAAATACAAAAAAAAAATTAAGAACATGAAGAAAAAATTTAAAAACATTTTATTATTATTTTTTTCACCATCATTATTATTATTTTATAATGAAAAGGATAGCAATTTGAATAATAAAAAAAAAATTTATAAAGACGATGAAATTCATATAAAATGCATTTTCTTTATATTATGCATGCATAAAAATATTTTTCAGAGAAGGATAATTTTTTTTTGTGCAATTGTGCTACGTGCATTATTAAATTGTTTTTGTTTTAGTTTTTTATTGTTATTCGAAAAAAATCACAGATTTTTTTCTTCTCTTGTTTAATTAAAAAAATAAAAGAAAGTTTAAAATTCTTGGGAGCACTTTTTATAACAAGGAAAGAAAAAGAACATAGGAAAACTGTTGAATTAATTTGAAAATTCACAAATTTTAAGCGAAAAATTTATTTTCTGCTTTCAAATTATTGCGTAGTCCATGCATAACAGCGAATATTAGCAATTTATATGCGTAAATCTAAGTCCTAAGTATTTACTGACCTACTAAGGAAAATGCGTACACAGTAATAGAAACTTAAATCAGTGCTTTTACTCGTACACTTCAAATACTCAAAAACTAGAAGATATTTGACAGAAATTACTTGAATTCAAAATAATTTACGCAAAGGTTCTAAATAATATGCCTATATAATGCGACATAGTTGATGTTTATTACCTTATATTAGGATGCTTAGAATATAAACATTACAAATATATGGTGTGGAAATTTAAACAATTTTTTGTCTTGTTTTGTGTAATATGGAAATACGAGTAAGAGTTGTAAATTCTAGATTGCAGAATGCGACGATGACGCACCGCGATCTAAAAGATCTATTGTATCCACTCAACAAACGCCCAGTATTGCGCTTCCCCGAGACCCATGTTTTTGATGAATCTGAACAACTTTACCAGGAAAATATTTCATAACGGAATGTCCATCAATGAGGATCCGCCCAAACTCTCCCTTCTCTTATGGATCAACACTGCACACTCGTTGAGAAGGTGCATCAGAGTCTCCTAGCATAGGCAAGTATTAAAACTTATTTATTTATTTACTATTTAATTTCAGACATTTTGTGTAAAATTTTGTACAGGAAAAATTTTTCTTTAAGACTGCTTCCTGTAGGAATCTATAAATATTAACAGCTTTATTAGAATGACATTATTTCTCCTTGTCTTACAGTTAACAAAATATAAATTTTCGGAAATTTCTTCTTCAAAATTATGCTAAACTTATGCAATAATTATGACATATTACAATATTAAAAGTAAAGTTTCATTCCGGGCAATAGTATTGAGAAAATACTGTTACATGGTAAGAAAAATGTCACGAATTCCGAAAATTTGAAGTTTCAGCCAAAAATAAAAATTTTTTTAAATTTTATAACTTGAAATTTATATAACCTAGAATACTTATTACAATAAATCATTTGTGAAAATTTGGTGAACTTCAATTGGTTTTTGAGTTATCGTTGGGACAGACGGACGGACGGAAAAACGAACAGACGGACAGACAAAGCTAAATCAACTCAGAATTTGACGCTGATCAAAAACATACACTTGAGTGTTACAAACGGTAAAGCAAATTTAATATACCCTTCGGACATACGTTTGTACGGGTATAAAAAGGGAAACTCCAGTCATTTTAGTATTGTAAATTGTGTTAAAAAAATTAAAATTAAAATTTTAGATTGAATAACAATTTCGTCAGTAAGTGAAGAAACACCTTAAAAGAATAATGGAAATAAAAAATTTGAACCAAGTTTCTTCGCTTGGAAATGTGATACTCTACATTCCTTCGGTTTGCTCCAAATTTATTCAAAATTAATTTTATTTTACTATCGTTTTAATAACAAGCCAAAATGTTGCAATATTAAAATATTTTGGATTAAAAATATTTTAAATATTTTAATAATTTTAGCTTATACTTCATCTATGTAAATATTGCTAAAATTTTCTAATATTTTTGTATTTATGGACAATTTAATATTATACTTAAATCTTTTAAATAAATAAAAAAAAAATATTATTTTCTCAAAAATATAAATTTTTGCAAAAACAAAATTTTCAATATGAAATTTTATATTTACTTAATTCTTTTTAAGTCCTTGTATTAAAATAAAACTACAACAGAATAGAGCAGAAGGGAGCAGACATTATACAGAGTTAAAAGTTAAAAACAAAATTTTTACTTTTAATAAGTGATGGCACAAAAAACTTAACCATTCTTATTTTAATTTTAAAAAACTCTGTAAATCGAGCAAAAATAAATAATACTTTAACTTTTATTTTTCATTTTTTTCTATTTTCTCCATAAAAGTTTTAATTCCTTTAATTGCAAAGCAAAAAAAAAGATTTAAAGGATAATAAACAAACTAGAACACTAAACATAAGAGCGAACATAAGAGTGCATACCACATATGTACATATGAATGTGTAAATTTATAAAAAATGTAAAAATAATGAAAGAACAACAACAAAATAATTTCCAAATAATGCTCGTATGTACACAAATAGTATTTTTCAACTCCACAACAATAGAATTAACAAGAAAACAAAACAAAAACTTACCGTAACACTGCTTCTAATCCTTCATATCCTTCAAAATTAGCTAGTCCAATATTTGTGTATAGTACACCCCAAAAAAGCATACCAAGCATATCTGGTAAACGTATAAATGTTACCAAAATACCAGAAATTTGTGCTCCAATAAATAAATATGCAATTCTCATTATTGTTGAATTTAATGCTGTGTATTGTGGTATTATTGAATAAAATGTTGCCCATATAACAGTAAAAATTACTAATAATGCCAATAGTTGTGATATAACTGACCAATTTTTAACAATTTTCCTCCATCTATACGTATATTTTGTTGTCGTTGTTTTATATGAAAAATAAATAAAATAATTACATAAACTAATTGTTTTATTAGTAATTGCAGTACAATTGTGATACATGGAATTGTCGCACATCTATGTGAAAATAATCATTGCAGAGGATGAACTTTTCAATTATTTCAATGAAATACGGAGCTTAGACCACATTTATTTAAAATTATAATTAAAAATTTATGTTACAAATTTAAACATTTCGAATTTTTGAACAATTTTGAAGAAGTTTACTAGGGCAATAGCCCTACACAAGTTCTATATTGAATTTATTTAGTCCATATAAATTTGGCCATGCTAGAATTTAATGAAATATAATTAAATTAAAAAAATTAATTAAATTAACATACTAATTAGATTAAAATTTGCAATTATTAATCACTTAAAATTAATTTTGAAATTTTAAATGTTAGTTAAAAATCCGCTGTTTCCTTTAAATTGCACTCCTAATTATCATTTCAATGGAACAATAATAAATATAATATTGTATAACATTGAAAAACCCCTTCGGGAACTTAAAAATCAGTGATCTAAAATTATAATTAAATCTAAAAATTCTTTAAGTGTAAATTTATAATATGTTTGAGAAATGCATTTAAATTTCGCAAAAAGAAAAATTTTAATTGTTCAATGAATCGAATAAAATTTATAATTTTAAATTATAGAGAATTTCTTCAACCATAATTAAGAAATCATTTTTTTTTATATATTAATAACATTAATATTATAATTTAATTAATAATCTTATAATAAATTTAATCATCTTCAATTATTATTTCCATGAAATCAAGGTTATAAACTCTTTAATCAAATCAAAATATATTTAGAAATCTTTAGAATAGAAAAGAAATGAAGATGAATTTTTCGCTTAATCTTGGAAATTATTAAAATCTATATGGTAAGATAGTCAATAACAATCTTAGTTCCACATTTTCGACAATTTATAGAATTATTTCATTAAACAAATATAGTGTATAAATATAATTTCTCGTACAATTTTGGTCCTTCATAATTGAGGTCATCTCTGTTATTTGGCGAGTTTACTGTTGAACTATTTATTTTCTCATCTTTATCTAGTTGAGTACATTGGGTCATTTCTGTTGAATCCGTTTTTGGCATTTGTGCTATTTCTAATTTATGTGAAGCAGTAAAACTTCGAAATAATTGTTCTGAAAAAAAAAACAAGAAAATTTGTTTTTATTAAAATTAACAACAAAATTTCCGAAAATTTCAATTAAACATTATGAAAATTATAAAAACGATTAGTACAAAAAATTTCTAGCAAAGCTAGCTTAATTTTTTGTAATTTCCAAAAATAAAATTTTGTTTTGCAGATTTTGGAGTAAAATTATTTGAAAATTTGAGTAACCCTGACATTGATATTAGCAACAATAATATTAACTCTTATAAAAACCACGTGTTCAAATGGTAAAATTTTCAAAATGGTAAAATGGGGTTTTTGAACGAAAATTCATTTCGATAAACACCATTTTATAAGCAAACGCAAAAAAAATGAAACAACAATATATTTGACAAACTAAAATGAAAAATTCTTACTACTCTTATTTAAGAAAATCGATTTAATTTCCAATATGTTTCACACAAAAGTATCCCGAATTTCAAAAATTCCCTCAAATTTCCGAAATATTTTAACATTTTAAAAAAATTGTGCGATCTCGACAATATAAAAAAGAAAATCTTAAATAATAAATTGCAAAAATTGTCCTTGAAAAGAATTTTTAATAATTTTCTGGAATATTGCATTTTCGAATCCTAAAGAAATGTTATCATAAATTACAACGTATATTTGAAATAAACTATCCACTTCCACATTATGCACATATAAGAAACACTTTTAGCCTCAAAGCAAATTTTCAAGGACAAAAGCTTGCAAGATAATTTTCAATTTTTAAAATAATTTTTAGAAAAAATTCAAATCGAAATTAATATTTTTTTTTTTGAATAATTTCAAAAAATTAAAAAATAAAATTCAATTATAAATTTAATTAAAAATTCATAAGAACCACGAATATTTTTAAATTAAAAGAATAATATGCAAAATTCATGTTAATTATATGATAATTTTTTCTTAAGAATTTTCATATTATCCTTGCAGGTTTTTTAAAATAATTCAAGAAATTTATTATTATTATTGCCACTGTTAAAAAATATTCTTAAAAATGTAAGTAAAGAAAGTGCAATTTTTTCAAAAAATAAAAATTTTAATTCAATAAAATTGCACTTAAAATAACTATTTTTAATAGTTGTTATTAATTAATTAAATTTTTCTTTCGTTAAACTTGAACATTAGAAGGTTAATATCGTAAATAATAGGAACAATATTACATACAAATAAGACCATTTTATAGCCTATAATTCGTTCCCTTTGAACTTGAAACTTTCAATTTTCCTCTGAATTGATTTTCATGTTGTTTATATGGGTATACGAAAAAGTAATTTATCAAAGAATTTTTTTTATCAAAAATCTAAAAATTATACAATTTTTTTGACTGCAAGCAATTGTTATAAATTAAATTTCGCATATCTATAATGCAAAATCTCACATTATGATTTAAAGATCAAGCAGGATCAGGATAAAAAGTAATCTAAAATGAAATTTGTATGAATAAAATATTAAAAATATTAAAATTCATAATTATATTTTACAGCAAATATAAAAATTATTAAACAAATTTTTTAAATAATTTATAATTTATATCGTAAATAAATAATATTTTTCTTTTCTGTTTTTTTTTTTTAATTTATTATCAACAATTATGTAATATGTCAAATCTTATCTTTTTATTTTTTTTTTGTTTTATTTATTGTAAATCACAAATTCATTTTTCATATTTTTTCAATTTTAAATTCCATAATCACGTACATAAAATTATCACATACTGTCATTTATATTTTACGATATTTTTTTTTTTCAATATATTTTTTGAAAACAATTTTCATGTCCATTTTCCAATGATATATATTTTAAATGAGAATATGGGAAAAAATTAATTCACATAAATTAAATTAATAAAAAATATTGTCCTTTTTTTTTGTTATGAAAGTTTGGTGCATTTCCTATATGACATTTTTTTTAATGAAATTTATGAGACTGAAATGCACAGAAAAAAAAAATCGAAAAATAATATAAAATGGAAGAAATGTGAGTCGAATAATAAATTTGTTTTTTATTAAATTTTTAGATTTTATGAAAAAATATTTAGTAAATTGATATTAAAATTCTACTTCAAAATGAATATCAAATGTGTGGAAACCTGTGAAAATTTAACACTGAACTTCAGGATGGCTGTATATGAAATCAAAAACTTTTCAAACTATACGAATGTTCACCTTTGGCACTAGAAAATTGTCAATATTTCTAAATTTTTAGTATTTTGGTAATAAATTTGTCTAAACCTTGGGGAAAATTTATGCAGATTCCGCTGTATAGGAACTAATAAAATAATTTCACAGGATGAAAATATTCAAATTTTTCCATTATTATTAAATCTAATAATATTTTGTTTAATTAACTATTTTTAATTAAAATATAGCTTTAATTTCAGAATATGTTTTTTAATTGATGAATTTAGTTAAATTTCTATCGTAAGTATTTAAATAGCTTATTACATAGAACTCATAAAAATCAAATCTACGTATGTATTAATAAAATGCTCTAAAACCTGCTGCTCTAAAACAAACGAAAATCCAGAATTAATAACCATTTTGAATTCACCACAAATAATTTCTTTATATTACAACTGCAATACAATATAAGATATGACATGACAAACAATCTCACCTTTCTTAAACACCATTTATTAATTTTAATTATTTAAATTAAATATTTATTATTATATTCAAAATATATTCGATTTTAACATTATGATATTCTTTTATTATTTAGAATTAATACTTTTTTGCATTACAACAAAATCTTTAATAGTAAATTTAGTTTTACAATATTTTTACAATAAATTATCATAAAAACAATTTTTTTTTACATCTTATCTTTAAGATTAAATGCTGTACTAATTTGAATAGAGAATTTTCAGTTTGTCTTAAAAAATCTTAAGTAAAATAACCTTCCTCATTCAAAAAAAAATTCTCTTAAAAAAATTCTAAATAGCTTTTTTATTTAAACAAAACATGCTCTCTCTTTAAATAATATTATTAATTTATAGTTTAGAAATGAAAACCATGTGTGTAAATTTTATCCCCATCAGTTTATAATGGTTTCTTGTGATCACCACTTGTGTATGACATCGATAATTTTATGAAGTTCAATATCAATAATTGGGTAAGTTAGAATTAGTAGTTTAGGATAAGTCAAGTTAAACAACAATTTTGGGAAAAAATTAGTGTCTCTAATTTAATAAAAATTTTTAGAGTTTTGTCTAGTAGTCGTACTAATCATGAACTTGATTAAAACAACAATTTGATCGAATTTTCGGAACATGAGAAAATTTAATTAGAAAAATAATAATTTAGTTGAAAAAATTACATACTATTCAATTAAAAAATCAAGGATTCCGGTGTGAAAGTGACGATTGAAAAGGTGAAATTTAATGGTTATTGCTCTAACATGTAATGTAATGTTATATCAGTTTTAGTTAAATAGATTTGACTTATGGCCACATAATTTGTCTCATAAGCTTATATTATTATATTATGGCCACATAGAGGTCTTATAAGAAACCTCCTTATACTTTATATTCAACTGTTGTAGTAATTTCATTTCATATAATTTAAAATGTTAGCCTAAGCTGTAGATGCCGGTATAAAATAAATCTTTCATTTTAAATTTCACTAATATTTTTGATGGTCGTTTACAAATTTTTAAACATTATGCGTGCTATTAGCAATGATATTATTTATTCTCTTCTCAATTTAGTTAACAACAACTACTACCATAAATTTTTTATTTACGAGAGCAGAAAATAACACAAATTACTCTTAAAAAAAAAAAAACAAAACATAAGTTAATCAGAAATCTAATCAGAACAATTAACTTTAATTGATAAGCGAACAATAACAATAATAATAACAGTTCAGTGCCGGATGAAATAAGCTTTTCAACGTCATCACTATTGGTACAATTAAAATTCATATTGTAATTGAATTGTTTACAAAAACAATGCTTTGTTTTATTTTAAACAATTAAAATAAACAGAATTTTATTATAAATATATTTTGTTAAGATGCTCATACACGTGTGTTTGTATGTGAATTCACTCACTTATTAAAAATTGAGACTTCTACGACCGAAACAAGTAAAAACGTTTCAAGTAACGTGAAAAACAAGTAAAAACGTTTCAGTCGGTATGAACCGATTGAATTATACCCTGCACCTTTCATTGTTGTATAGCAATTACTCAAACCTGTGAAACCATTCTATAGAAACTTCGCGGATATATCTGATCTATAACTGAACACACAACTACCAAGTTTCGTGAATTTGACTTTATTATTTTTCCAAATATTTAAAATTAGCTTTTGGAGTTGTATGGCAGGTACCTGAACCTGCCAAGCAATTTCACTAAAACTTCGCTAATATATCTGATCTATAATTGGACACACAACTGCCAAGTTTCATGGATCTAACTTTATTACTTTTCCAAATATTTAAAATAAGCTTTTGGACTTGTATGGGAGCCACTCGAACCTGTCAAGCAATTCCACAAAATCTTCAGAAATATCTTTGACCTATAATTGGACACACAACTGCCAAGTTTAATGAATCTGTCTTTATTATTTTTCCAAATATTTAAAATTAGCTTTTGGAGTTGTATGGCAGCTACCCGAACCTGCCAAGCAATTCCACTAAAACTTCGCAAATATATCTGATCTATAATTGGACAAACAACTGCCAAGTTTCATGAGTTTGACTTTATTATTTTTCCAAATATTTAAAATTAGCTTTTGGAGTTGTATGGCAGGTACCCGAACCTGTCAAGCAATTCCACTAAAACTTCGCAGGTATATCTGATCTATAATTGGACACACAACTGCCAAGTTTCATGAATCTAACTTTATTACTTTTCCAAATACTTAAAATAAGCTTTTGGAGTTGTATGGGAGCCACTCGAACCTGTCCAGCAATTCCACCAAAACTTCAGAAATATCTTTGCCCTATAATTGGACACACAACTGCCAAGTTTAATGAATC